AGAGAGAGAGAGAGAGAGAGAGAGAGAGAGAGAGAGAGTGTGTCCGTCCGTCTGTCCCAGGGGACTAAAGAGGAAATGCATTGCATGTGATTCGCTTGCCTCTGGGGAAATAAGACTCGCAGCTAAGTCAGCTGGCTCAAGGTGTTGCCCTCCGACGCTTTGAGAAGGCCTTACGTGTTTATGCAAGTATTGGGGAACCAGAGCCCTTCTTGGTTTGGAAATGGTAACTTTGTGCTTTTTAAAATGAATACTTAGAAAATAAAGCCAATCCACTCCGTAACAAAAAGACTCCCTCTCACAAGGAAATTGTGATTGCTTAAATCCCCGAGGAAAATGTAGGTGTAAACTCAGGTTTTTTTTTTTTTATAAATCTGTATTCTGTGCCACTTCCTCCAGCCGAAGCCTTTCCCAGGGGTGTGAATGCTGCAGAGGATTCAAAGTAATTCACCTCCTCCAGCAACACCACTAGGATCTCAAGGAAGTCTCTTTAACCCTTTACAGGACAGATTGGTATTTCCTGTGTCTGAGAGCCTCAGAACTTGCGGGCGACATGGCCCAGGGGAATAATTATGGACAAACCAGTAACGGGGTGGCAGATGACTCACCCAACATGCTGGTGTACAGAAAGGTAAGAGTTTCTTTACTTTCTTGGCAATAGGGAAACTTCGGTCTTACTCAGCGACTTCGTTGGATGCTGCATTTCACTAAGGACTCCACAATATACTGGAAAATAATTTGTTATTCTCAAGTGATGAATATATGTAACACCACAATGAAATAAATGAGTCTAGTCATGCTCTGTCCTCAAACTTTCCTGAATATTTTGCATAAATTAATCTGTTGTACCAGTAGCAGGTAGTTGAACATTCTATGTGGTTCGTTACACACATGACTTAGAATCCATAATTTCTAAGAATTGGTCCGTATTTTTTCCTAAATATTTAGGACTATTAATTAAAATAGATTGCTTTGGTGCTCTTTGTTAAGAGTGAATGTTGCTGTGTGAACATTTGAGTACTTTAATTGTTTGATTCCAGCTTGATCAAGCCTAGGATTTTTATTCTGAATTATTTTTTCCCTGTATTATTTCTATGACTTTGCTTATGGATATTTATATACTAGTGTCATATTCTAGTGAAATTAACCTTCATTTTCCAGAGGTGATTTACAAAATACCTTTTGCAATAAACAGATCTGATAGCTTTATGCATGTTATAGTAATGCTATCTGCAGTAAATTTCTAGATACCTTAATAATGATGCATTTGAATATTGTGTGTGTTTCATAGTGGTTGCTTGGCTAACTTCACTTTGGTTATAGTCAACAATCATACTAAATATAAGGAACCAGTACTTTTTATTTAACTTCTGCCTCACTCATTTCCAACATATTTTTTGTTGGGCCCTTTTAAAAATCATTATTTGAATATTTATTAGGCAAGATTTCTTTGGTTGACATTAGCAATGGTAAAAAGGAAGTTATATTTGAAACCAAGACAGTTGTTGGGTATTTAGATTAGCATGAGCCCATCTTTGAGTCCAGGATGAGTTTGCATTTGTTGCTTCAGTTGGAGGATCTGAGCTGATGATGAATAAAGGTGAAGAACCATGCACTGCTTTGATCTGTATTCAATTAAAATGTAAGCTCTCTATGACCCAACATAACTTATAAATATATGGTTGAGGGAATAATTTTTATGGCTTTAATGAGAAGATGTATGTTATTAACATTAACCAAGTGCTAATAAAAGAAGAGAAAATAATACTAGAAATAACTATTCACTCTCTGAGATCATTATAGTGTGCTAATTTACAAACAGCAATAATATCACCTTGATGTTAAATAACAATTTATAGAATAAATGAAATTGAAGCAATAAGAGGCTAAGGTATACTAAATAAACAGCTATTGCTAAAACTCCTGCCCTCATATGTACATTAATTATTCTCATGATAATTCATGAATGAGACACACAGTTTGATGTCATATTAACTTTATTTCTAATTATTCCAGTTAATTCAGTTCTCTTCTTTTATAGGGATATAGGGAAAGAATACAATTGATTGACCTAAAAAAAGTAATTTGTTACTAGAATTTATACTCAAACTCCAATCCAACATTCTACACTGCTTATACTATATAAAACAGGATTTAAATTTCTCATAGCTTTCATATTTGAATATGTAAACAATAAAGAGATATTTTAATATTTTCACATAAATTCCCCCAAAATATTTCTGCTTAGAAAAAATCCACCTAGAATTGTCAAATATCCAGTTATTTCATTCAGTGATTTTTCTTTTCTTAGATATTACAAGTAAGAGAAATTCATGTAAGTGTTCCTTTTTTTAAGACCTTACATGTAAGTGAAATGTAGTGTTTGGCTTTTTTGGGTCTGATTTATTTTATATAACATATTTTCAAGGCTCATCTCCATTGTAGCATGCCTCAATGTTAATTCCTTTTAGCTTATTAGGAACCCTGGTGGTTAAATGCTCAGCTGCTAACCAAGAGAAAGGTACAACAATCAACCTCCCTGAACCTATTGGGGCAGTTCTACTCTTTTCTATAGGGTTACGATAAATCCAAATGGACTCCACCTCAGTGAGAATAGTACATATATGCTGCATTTTGTTGTTCTAGTCATTAATTGATGAACGCTTAGGTAGGTTCCACTTTTTGTTGTGAATAATGCTGCCATGAACATTGGTGTACAATCATCTTCTTGAATTCCTGTTTCTTTTTATTACTCGCTTATTTGGTAATGCCATATTTAGTTATTTGAAGACCCGAAAATGTTTCCATTTTGCTTTACCACTAATAAGGTTTCCAATTTCTCTGAGTACTCATTAACTGTTGTTATTTTCCATTATTTTCTTACTTTTACTATACATATCCTAGTGGATGCGAAGTGATCTTGTGATTCTTAATATGAATTTCTATAATTATTTAAAGATGAGCATTTTTTCTTTTCTTTTAAAAAACAATAATTTTATTGGGGGATGTTACAGCTCTTATCACAATCTATACATACATTCATTATGTCAAGCACATTTGTACATATGTTACCATCATCATTTTCAAAACATTTTCTATTTTAGTCCTTGATATCAGCTCCTAATTTCCCCACTCCACCACCCTCCCACTCTCATGACTCCTTGAAAATTTATAATTTCTACTTTACCCCCCATGTCTTACACCAACTGCTGTCTCCCTTCACCCGCTTTTCTGTTGTCCATCCCCCTAGGAAGGGGTTATATGTAGATCATTGTGATTGATTCCCCCTTTCTCCCTCCACCTCCCCTTCCCCTCCTGGTATCTCTATTCTCACTATTGGTCCTGAGGGGTTTATCTGTCCTGCATACCCTGTGTTGTGAGCTCTTATCTGCAGCAGTGTCCATGCTCTGGTCTAGTCAGATTTTTAAGGTAGAATTGAGGTCATGATAGTGGGAGGGAGGAAGCATTAAAGAACTAGAAGAAAGTTGTATGTTTCATTCGTGCTATACTGCACACTGACTGGCTCATCTCTTCTCTGTGACTCTTCTGTAAGGGGATGTCCAATTGTCTACAGATGGGCTTTAGGTTTCTACTCTATGCTTCCCCTCATTCACATTGCTAAGATATTTTGTTCTGGGTCTTTGATGCTTGATACCTGATCCCATTGACACCTCATGATCACACAGGCTGGTGTGCTTCTTCCATGTGGACTTTGTTGCTTCTCAGCTAGATGGCCAGTTGTTTATCTTAAAGCATTTAAGACTCCAGACACGATATCTTTTGATAGCTGGGCACCATCAGCTTGTTTCACCACATTTGCTTGTACACCCATTTTGTCGTTAGCAATCGTGCCAGGAAGATGAGCATCACAGAATGCTGATTATTAGAACAAAATGTTGTTGTGTTGAGTAGAGTAGAGGCCCAATGTCCATCTGCTACCTTAATATTTAACATGTAAATATATGTACATAGATCTATTTTCCTATCGTTATATATGAATCTATTTACACATGTACTTGTGTAATGCACCTCTATACATGTCCTTTGCTTCCTAGTTCTGTCCTCTATTTCCTTTTACTTTCCTCTTCTCCCACTATCATCTTTGGCCATCATTCGTGTTTCAGTTTTTCCTCTCGGTTACACTGGTCTTGATTAAGTCTCACCAGGCATCCTATGCCCCTCTCACCATTGATTTTAGATCACTTGTTCCCTTGTCACCGGGTTTGTTAACAACCTCTTCTTTTCCCCTGCCTCCTCCTCTCCCATGTCCCCCCAGAACTGTCAGCCCCATTGTTTTCTCCTCCGGATTATTTTCCTGCCTATCTTATCTAGACAGACATGCAGAGGCAATAAAAAGTGCAAAAACAAGACAAAGCCAAAAACAACAACAAAAGAAGACATAAAACCAAAATAACAATAAAAAAGAAAAGCCTATAAATAGTTCCAGGTGTGTTTGTTGACCTTTAGGAGTGTTTTCCGGTCAAGTCTGATGGAGTGCAATGCTCTGGCCCCAAAGCCTATTTTGGTATTACCCGGGGACTTCATTGCTTTGCTCCCCTTGCTGCTTTGTTGCATGTCCTTAGTGTTTCCCCCCAGTGTGATGGGGTCAGAGTGGGCACAATTCCCACACTTTGTCTCCAGTGTTGTCCCCCGTAGCACTATGGGTCAGCGAGGGACTTCGTATCTTTGTCTCATGGTGGGGCTGGCCTTATGGTCCTCTGTGTGCATTGGCTGCTTTGAGCAGGAATATCATCCTTGGGGCCTGGTGGCCCAGGATGTGTTCCTCTCTCTCGCCTTCCCAGTTCATTTGCTCCTGTGTGCTCTGATCAGATGTACCCCTCTCCTGAGCTGTTGCTTCAGTGCTGTCCTCTGAAGTGCATTCTTCTGGGAGTGGGGTGTCCACATAGTTGGGATTGGGTCCGCCCCCTCAGACCTCTCTATTGGGTCCCTGGTACATTCCAATATATTGTATTCATGTCTTGGCACACTGGGTTGAAGCCTGGTCCCTTTCTCCCTCTTCTGTGGAGATATAAACAATACCCTGCCCTTGAATGGGTTAGTGCCCTGTTCCCCTGCTCCCCATTTCTTGTTTTTTTTCCCCCCTCTTTCTTTTCCTCTCCTATTTAGTTGGCTGCTATATGTATCCCTAAATTGGGTTTGGCCGCTGCCGTAGTACCTGGACCTCACCCCAGGAATGTATGCATATAATAGCTTTTCCCCTATACCCCTTTTGAATTCTTAAAGCTTACCTCACTGGACTCATGTTGTACTTGTCTTACCTGGCTTAGCATAATTTCCTTCTGTTCTTCCCATGCAGTGATGTGCTTCATGCATTCATCACTGCTTTTTAGAGATGCTTATTGCTCCATTGTACTACCATTGGTCCGTGATGGAAATTTGGGTTGTTTCCAACTTCTTGTGTTTGTGAACTGCATCACAATGAGAATTGGAGCACAGATGTCTGGCCCTGGTTTGTTTCTTGTTTCTTCTGGGTATATGTCCAATAGGGGGATTGCTGGGTCATATGGTAGCTAAATTTCCATCTGTTTTAGATATTGCTAAATCAATTTCCATAATGGCTGTACATACCTATAGGTCCACCAGCAGTGGATGAGAGTTCCTATCTCACCA